TCTTCGAGGTTTGATATATTAACTTTTTACCTGCTAGAAAGGCCTTTCATTGAAACATGGGCTTGCAGAACTGGCTGAAATATTTCTCCCAGATTCAGACCCGCACAGAAGGACCATTGTCTTCCACCCAGTGCCTCGGTGTGATGTCATAACCCTGGTCTCTCTGAGTAAGAAGTTTTGATTTATAGCCAGGGCTGCTGCCAACACACGGTTCTCAGAACTTCGTGTTAAATTAGATGACATAATGACATGAGTCCAGAGACTAAGAAGGCATCGTCAAACCATTGAAGACCAGTTAGCACAGATGGAAGTTGCTTATCAGACTAATTTAGAACTGTGAGCTCTGTCAGATTTTAATATTCAAAATCGAGGACTATTTAAAATTGTTTGTCAGCCGACCTAATGCATTGTGAATTGAGAAGCGTCTGAAAATTCACCATATGAACTGAACTTGCATTAATTTTTTCCTTTTCATGGCAAGGACCTGATCCTTCAGCAGAGTAGGGTATCTCAAACAAGCAACATTACTTTTGAATCTGAGTGCATGTAAAAACAGCGTCTTTGCTGTTTACAGTTTCACAAATTGTGGCTTCGTTGCTGCAATTTATTGTTGGCAAATCTCAGTGTATGGCGTATTCAGTCACAGTTTTTCATTCTAGCCATCTGAGAGTCTGCAAGACTGGCTGTTATCTCAGCACCACGGAGCAGCTTTGAGACAGAATTCTAACTGCCATTTGATATGGCTGTGCTGAATTTAAGAAATAGTCCGTTTTCTGCTAAAAGTGCTTGCAGATTCTGAGCAGCTGTGGGGCTTTCCCATTAACTGCCTGTCCAGGCCTGCTGTGTGACTGGGAGTGTCTCTTTCAGCTGGCAGGTTTTTACCAAGTCATTTAAGATTTGAAATATTTGAGCTAGAAGTTAATCAGGGTAATACTTTTCTGTTAAATATTAATCCTGAGAAAATTAACTGTACTCTGTATCACGTCGCATCTCCCTGTGTGAAATACTCGTGCACGTGAGCGACAGTGGAAATGGATATGTGTTATGGCAACTATCTTACCGTGCCTCCACAGGGATGTATTTGAGAATGAAACCCCTTTTTCCAGCTCGGGTCTGTAAAGATTTGCAGTTAATGAAGCGTGAGTTGACAGGTAAGCAGTAACGCTAGTCCATGGCTGCCCGGTGATCAGTCCTGGCTGCTCTGGAGGAACCCGCGGGGTTCCTGCGTAGGAGAGAATGGCAGAGGTGGGCATGTGAGGTCTGTGTCCTCTGCTGCTCTGCATCAGCTACAGCCGCTCGCCCCAGCTGAGGGCCTCTGGCCCCCCAAAAGTCAGCAAGGTGGTGGGTAGGGCGTCTTAGGAACTGGAACCTTATTACATGCAAGTATTTTCACTTGTTTGAGTAACGCCATAGACGCCGTGATGCTAAGTGGGTAGCCAGTGAGTACAGGTACAGGGTGTTCCTGGGCTGGTTTTGGAAGGTGTGCCTTGAAATACCCACAGCTCCTACCTGGGGCCCTCTGCTCTCCTTTGCAAAGTGGGAGTAAACAGTTACCCTTTGAAAGAAAGAACGTGAGGCGATTTACACCACTTGTGACACATTCAGAGTATTTTCAGAACAACCAGGAGGTCAGACCCACAGCTCGTTTGAGTCCGGTTTGGAAATACAAACATTGGCAAAGATTTTTGGCCTTTGTTACTCTGTATGGTGAAGTTATGTGGGCTAGGGGAAGGCAGATACAGGATAGAGTGTCAGAAATAAACTGTTAACTGGTGTAATGTAGCAATTTGTGTTGTATCTCCTCCACAAGTCAAGTAACGTAGCTATTAATGTAAAACACAAAAGTTGGGGTCTGGCTGAAAAGGGAAGAGTTAATGTCTTATGTTTCTGCTGACAGAAACTTTGCAGGTCTGATTTCAGATCATCTGGGTCATTAGTAATGGTTTCTCCGGGGGGTGGGGGCGGGGAAGAATCCTACAGAGCTTCCTTCTCCAGACTGGTACCCTGTGAAGATATTTACACTTTTTTACAGGGGAGTGAGTGGCTGCCATCCCAGCTTGGGAAGAGCCGTACATTCATTCTGCACAGTGTTGAATGGCTGTGCAAATGGCAAAGCACTGAAAACTCAGATACAAATCCTCTCACCATTTCAGCGTTAATACTTTTCCTGTCTTTCAGTGTGGTACCTACTCTAGTGATGAGATTATCATACAGATGAAATATATGATACTTAGAAAGGGGAGACTTTTTTGTTGTGTTGAAGAGACATATTAAAAAAGGTAATGGAGACAATTCAGTTGATGAAGTTCAGATGCCACTAAGCTTAAATGCAGGTAGTATCTGTACATTTAGAGACAATTTGTTTCCCATTATGTGAAATAACTGATGCTCAGGAGCATTAGTTCAGAGCAATACAAGGGGACAATGTAAACAGATGTCAAATAAAATGGAGGTCCCACTTAATCTCGTATCCCTCCTTCTTGTTCCCCTCGCTGGCTACCAACCTGCCATCCACAAACAAGCTACTGTGACTCACCCTGACTGGTCCTGTAATTAACACCAGTCTCTATTTTCCCTCTGAACTCTGAATTTATGGGCAGCCAGGAGTGTCCTTGGTTGCTGTCGCCATCTCCAAGAGAGTTTTTGGACTAACAGGTCTGGATGGAGTCCCTTCTGCCCATCAGTCCTTCGCCCAGTGCAGAGCAGGACTTACTGGTTATCCTCTTGGTTGCAGTAGGTGTGTTTCAGTGTAGCAACGTACGAAAACAGTTTCCCAACACTCGTGGCCACTAATCAGACCTCATGGCATTGGTTTTATAAAGAAAAAAATTGAAGTGACAAAAAAGTGCCTGGTAAACCAAGTAGCAAAGATGCACCATAGAAGAGCTACAATGAAAAATCAGCTGGAGAGCAGGAACCTGTCTTCTTTAAAGCCTCCAGCCTGCCTGCCACCAGGCCTATAACCCTCCCCTAGGTTATAACAAGTCAGACGACTCCAGAGTTTATTGGAGTTGAATTGCCAGTGGTTGAGCTTGGAATTATTTAGCACAGGTGTTTCTCTAACAGTGATATATTGGGAAAATTCAGTGTTCAACAACCATCATATTTCCAGCTGTGCTGTGGTTAGTGTTAGTACAGTGAACCTAATATAAAACATGTGAGAACATTTGCTAGCTCAGGAACTTGTTAAAGGTATTTTCTTACAGTATCTGAGCTGCTATGTTTATCTAGGTGCGTTTCTTTGGTCTTGCATTTTCATAAAGGGTGTGATACTGGTTTTATAAAGCTGTTGCTGAACCTGGAATCTGCTTCTCTGCAACCAATTGCATTAGTAGCCCTGCTAGCCAGTGCACAGCACATGAGCAGGTGAATAAGATTGTGAGGAATCCAATGACAGTCCATTATCCTTAGCACATTCGTCTTGAGTAGCACCTGTGCATCTGTTACATATATAGACATGTTTTTACTAGGGGTGCTAGCAATCTTGAAATAAGTGTTGCAAGCATCTATATGTAAAAGAACATAAAAGGAGCAAAGTTAACAAGAGGCTAGGGGACTGTAAAAGAAGGGTAGTGAAGTGCATTCACCAGCAGCAAAATTTGTGAATTTTAAAAAGAGGTTTTATATGTACACATGCACACACGTGCATTTTTAAGGTTTCAGAAGACTCATACACGAACATAGTAAATGGCTGGAGAATGCATAGAGCTGTTTATAAAACACATGCAAATAAAGTTGCAGCCAGAGACACTCACATAACACGCATATGCTCTGAGCGGTGTTGTGCAAAGATATGTCATTAATAACTTTGCGCTGCAGTAGGTCAGTTATTCTGGTATTCTGAAAGATATTCTGTAGTGTCACCGTAAATTTCCAACAACACCTTCAAGCGACAGCTGTTCCTGTGGGTATCTTTTTGAGAAAGCAGATGAATGCCACCGTGTATCCATACTCCATTGTTGTATGCATTACAGTTGTATCTGGCTAGAAGAAGTACATCTACAGACTAGCATGGCTCTTTTATTTATAGTTTTCCTGATACAGAAAGTGGGTGTCTTTTACCTATGCGTGGCATATGTTGTAGGAGAAGCAGCAAAGGCACCTCTCTGATTCGACAGGGAAAGCCGACATGAAAAAGACACTTTGATTTGAGGAAGGATCTCTTCTCTGCTTTGAGAAAGCGGCTCTGCATTTGTCATGACTGAGTTGATGCTCATAACCAGTCATTCTGTCCATGTGCTGGTGGTATTAAGAGACAAGACTTGACAGCTCAGTTAGAGCCTCTTTTGGACAACGGGTAGAGCAAGCAGAGGTCTAGAATAGCACTCAGTTTTTCTTGGTAGCCAGAGACTGGTTAGGATCTGGCATTAGCAGTTTGGATCGAACTTAGCATTGCGGAGAATTGGATGCAGCCTACCGACTATTTTACGCCCTTTGGCTGGTTAGTGAGATTAAACACAATCAAGTAATCAAATCCTACTCTTTTAAAAAATACCCTCATAATTGAAAACTTCTTGTATGTAGTAGTTTGTCATGTATCTTTTCTATTTTACTTTCACTGAACTCTGAAAGCCCAGCCTCTACCTTATTATGCTTCAGTTTACCGAATGTGCAGACATTTATCAAATGGGCCATCAGTAGCCGTAGAAATGCAGTAGTATATCCAAGTTAAAATTCTTGCTTTGATTACTACAAATCCGTGGAGCCCTTGGGTCCAAAGCTTCCACTGAAGCACAGCTATTTGCAAATAGATTTTTATAGCACATTAGTGCTGGAGGAGACTCCAAAGAAAATAGTCCTTTTCAATATTAGAACCAGCTGTGACTTTCTTGTGCTGATGACTCATTCATTTTTTTTTATAGGGTGGGAGAACTAGGCAAAAGACACACAGAGTCTTATTCAAGACGTTGTTTGTTTTGCAAAGGGTATCCTAGCCACAAGCCAACTTGATCATACCAATACGCAACTCATGTTTATTTAAAACTTTTTTCTTTTAACAGTTCCAATTATAAAAACAGAACCCACAGATGACTATGAGCCTGCTCAAACCTGTGGACCAATGAACCAAGGCTTAAGCCCTCTCTCTAAACCGTACTACAGCCAGCAGATCATGATGCCCCCTGATCCTGGTTCGTGCCTCGTGGCTGGCTTTGCCTCCTGTCAGCAGAGAAATGCCGTGATGTCACCCTCTCCCAACGCAAGCCCCAAGCTGCACGACCTTTCATCCTCTCCTTACAAGTGCATCCCCAACCCGGGCCACAGCCACCTCGGACTTCAGCAGCCCGCTGGAGGTGTCCCCACCATACAGGAAGTGCCAAGGTCTATAGTTGTGCACCCAAGCTCCCCCGAGCAATCATCTCACATCATGCTGCAGCCGCAGGTGAGTCAACATCTGAGCAGTAGCTGTCCCCTTGGTTATCAACAAACACTCTATCCCAACAGTCCCTCTTCTCCAGTTCCATCTGTTACCCAAGAGCCAACCTATTTGCAGTCCTGCAGTCCAACTCACTCATCCATAATGGGTCAACAGCAGCAGCAACTGCCGAAGGTTCACAGAAATGAGTCTCCAACAACCCAACCACTGTCATTGCCAGAGTTGCATGAGGAAAGTAATCATAATTTGGCCCCTATTCCTGTAACGATCAAGCGAGAACCTGAGGAATTGGACCAGATGTACCTGGATGATGGTAAGTCTTCTACAGCATAGGATTGCGTTCAACCATGTTGCTATATCAGTGAGTTCCCTTAACCCTCTCCTCCTTTTGAACCTTGGTGGAAAAAAAGTTCAATTAACAGCCTAGTGGAATGGTGCAGACTTTTGCTTGGATTGTCTCTGTATGGGAAAGGGCTCTTTAATTTCATTTGCAACAATGAAACCATACTTTCTAAGCATTAAATGCTGTTAGTTATCGTACAGCTAGCTGCATGATGGATAGCTATGTTGCAATAATCTTAACCGTATGGTCGTGGCTTATGCCCATGCCAGTGACCTGTAGAACTGCGGTGAAAACATATTTAACATTGTCCCATCCATAATGCAGTGAAATGTCTGATGTGCAAATCCGTTCACTGGAACTAAATGATAAACTGCTCTACTTCAGTTCAGAAGGTTCAAATTAAAAATTGAGGCACGTCTTTCAGCATAACTTTTCAGCCTGGTGGCATCTGACATTAAGACTACTTTTTCTTCCATTCTTATTGGGGACTTGCTGCTGCTTTTCTTTTTTTGTTTTTTTCTTTTGTAAGATTCTGTATGTATATGTATTCTACACGCACCACTGAAACGTTAAAATGCTGAGATGAACTTGTCAGACTCTAGTTTCCAAAGATTTATTAGTCGAACGTAATAAAAGGGATAATCTGGAATTTGATTATGTGACCTCACTGAACTGTGATTTAGCACTTGCTGCTAAGTATCCCAGTTGTATTCAGGGCCCTCACCTTAATGCAGTACGTGACTTCCCTTCCAATGGCCACATAACTTTATATAACATGCTATGCTATTTGCAGAAGAAACGCCTTTGAAATGGCTGCATTGAAATTAGTTGGTGCCAAGAAACATCTGAATGTAATTGTCTTTCAGGGAGAATTTAAAGACAATTCATTGCACTGTTTTTAAAAAAAGGACATTTAGTCATTCTATTTTAAACAGCATGGTACTCACTGAATTAGGATTACGAATTAATGTTTTGGAGCTTGAGAGCAGCCTTTTGCTTTTCAGCTCTAGGAGAATGGTTTTTCTTAACAGAAATTATTATTGGTTACATGATAGACTGGTCTAAGGAAGTTTTCCTAATTAGAGTTCAGTTGACTAAAGTTTTGCACAACACATCTTCTGTGACAAGGTTTTCTTCATATAGTGTGCATTTTTACCACATATCTATGCTGTAAGGAGCGAGATTTCAACAAACCAAACAAGAAATGTACGCAAACCAAGACAAAAAGCCATGCTCAAATTTTGGATTTGAGCGAAACCAGAAGTTAGCTATGGAAGGAAGAGAATACAGATAAACCTAGCCTATGACTGTCTTTCTAGAAAAGCACAAGAAATGGGCAGTGTTTCTGCCTTACCTCTCCAAAATCGAGCAACCACTCCTCTGACAGCACTATGAAAGCTGCCTTTGGCTGGTCTCTGCTGGAGAGATGGGACTGCAGCTCAGGAATGAAGGGTGAAGCTCCCCAGCTGTGTCTACTTCAGGTTTCTCCTGGAGGAACAGAAGAACTTTGCTACTGTGTGGTCCGAGACAGATATTTTAGTTGTTTCAGCAATGCATTCTCTCTGGCAAAGCATAAATGGTTTAGTCTTTACCCCCATCTCTCTTCCATCCCCTCTTCTGCACACACACGCACACCAGTCCTCTGACAGATAATCAGAATTAGCTGTAGAAGCCACAATGTATAGCTGCACTGATACTTAAAGGTGACTTTGAAGATCTCTTCAGCTAGCCAAATCCAGATATACTTCCCTTTGGCATCCAGCAGGCTATCAAAATCGTTCTGTGGCTGACCACAAGAGCTATAGACCAAGAAAGAATTCATAGACATAACAGTCATGGTAGCAACGTATAATAGAAAAAAATTAACTAATGTAGTTCCAAAAAATTAAACACCACCAGTTCCCTCTAAGGGTGGTAATCAGAAATGGTAGCCACAGGAAGTCCCTTTCCTGTGTCTAAACTGATACTTAGGTTTGTCTCAGGGGTCACACCAATGGAGCGGAACCGATGTGAGTTGCCCTTTCCTGTCTATGCCTTATCTCACTGCCTTAAGAAAAGGTCATCCACTCTATGTTTTATGTTGACAAAATGAAGCCCTTGTAGAAACCAGTAGTGGACTCCTACTGTCTCCTTATTTGTCTCAGTATTTGGGCAGTCGAGAGAAAGTGTGCAGCAGAGGGGCTAAAGGCAGGAAGCGTGTCCTGTGGGACTTGTGCTGGCCAAGACCCTCTGTTCAAACCATGCAGAGCCCCAGCACACCTCAGACACATAGCAGAGGAGCACAAAGCTGTGAGTCAGGCTGGAAGCCTCTTTAGGTCTATGCTACATGCATTTCATGGAGGCAACCTTACCATCACCAGTGAAGACATTGGTTTCACATTACGTTTAATCTGATCTAACTGTAGGCTTCCATGGAAAGGGTGGCCTCGATCCATCTTGCCCTTAGCCACATGTTCTTGCTGCTTCCTTTGAGTCATATCAATTGATTATGGAGCAGCAGAGCAGGCTAATGGAAAACTAACCTGCCAAAAACAGCAAAACCCACGTAGTTTTCCGCTGGGTCAGCTCATGGAAGCACATGCCCCGGGTCCAATAGCTGGGTCCAGCCCATGAGAGGGGCAGGAAGCCTGTTGCTGTGAGTCAGGGAGTGCAGTGGGACCGTTCTGGGTGGCAGCAGCCCACCCGTAGGCCAGAGTAAGTGTGACTTGAAGCCACATCTGATGTCATCTGATCCTCCTCAGCAACTATCTAATCAGTTCATCCTATCTCGGTAAGAAATCCCCTTTTCGTGCCGACCTATTAGTTATGGAAGGATGACATCTGGGCTGCCTCACACCATCTCAAAGGGCAGTTTGGCCACTGCAATGACTGCCTGGAAGCCACCAGTGATTGCTCTTGGTGTCCCAGTAGGTGCTGTTCGCCGAGGCCTACATTGAAAAGGCAAAGTGCTCGGTATACACAATGCCTTTGTGCCTGGTGCCAGTTCATTCAGACCTCTGGCCATAACTGTGGAATGAGGGAGAATGGGTTTTGCAGAGTGGCTCATACCAAATAGGAGCAGCTAATTTTTCAAGTGCTGGATGTTTTTTTTTGGAATAGGAGCTTTTAAGGCATTGCCATGGCTTCTTGTTTGCATCATATCGATCTTCAAGTGTTTTCCTTGTTGGAGAAGTGGGTGGGTTATCAATGCTTTATGACCATATCCTGAAAACCAGAATATCAAATCATACCCATGAGTAAGGACAGTTACTCTTTTTTTTTTTAAAATAGATTGCTGCTGTACCTCTTTATAATTTGTTGTCTCACTGATTCAGTTCAGATCCCTTCATATAACATGATTTTAAATTTTTTTCAGTATTTTTTCAATCTTTGTACCTGTGAACAGTATGAAAGCCAGAGGGAGGTCAGATGTATTAAAGTAGTTTAAAAATAATGAAATATTTTGATGACATTAAAAATTAAATTCTCAAAGTATCACTCCATTAAAAAAGTGTATCTTCACGGTGTCTTGTAGCTGTTTAATACCTCCAGTTTTGCCTGAAAGTACTTAGGAAGTGTGACGTATAGACATCTAACATACTTATGGGACTAAGACGAATAAAATATCTAACTGGTTATGCCAGATTATATTTGGTAAAATTTTCGTTTCTTGTTTACCACTTTGGAGAGGTCTGATTTATGTATCTCGTATATGTATAGCAATCCTGGACCAGATATGAACAGAAATTTTTTGGTTTCATCTTATGGGATCAAAGCAATATTCATTCCTTTTGGTCTGGAGTATCTCCAAATACAGACCATCTATACTGCAGAGTATAGATGGAAAAAAACAGTCAGTGAATTTATATATCCCATATATGACATCTTTCTGCTTCAGTGATGCTGGGCAGCTGAAGTGATATAAAGGGAGCACCCAAAGAGACTTCCATTTTGGCAAATAAGTTTTGGTCTTGGCAGTCTTGTTTTAAATAAAAATCTGCAGTAGCCACCTGGGCTACTCATTAAGTGTGCTGTCCAGTTCAGTATGTGAATATATGATTCAACATGTAGAACATATTTAAAACTCACCCTGTAAAGTGATACCTGATATATTATGGCTATGCTCTTGATATTGAAAGGTATCTGGCTTGTATACCAGCACTCGTTTCACATAATTCTTAGTTCAACCTCCTAACAAAGATTATGACTGATTCCCTTTACTAGTTTCGCAGCAAGATTTGATTAAAAGTGGTTGAAATGTGACATTTGTGCCTGGTTTTGCTCCTTGGTGATGGGAGAGGGGGTGTCTCCTGTCCTCTTTCAAGAGCAAGAGGCTCTTGCAGCAGCTTGCAGGGCGCTGGGGCACCCTGGCAGACCACGCCAGGGCTAACACCAGCTCCGTGTGCGTGTGCCACCCCTGCCTGAGACAGTGACGGTTGTGACATTCCCCTTTCAGATCTGATGTGGGAGTAGTGCTAGAGTGGTGGAGCTCACAGAAAATCCTAGGCAGGCAGGCTTAAGGGACCTCTTCAGTACAAGTCCATGCAGTAACTGCTTTTTAGAGAAAATATTTAACTTGGGGATCGATGATCCTAATGTGCTGTACAGCCCTTTGTGGAGTGAAGCTGAATTAGCTTAGTCCAGTTTGGGGAAGCTGCAGGCTGATGAGAACTCTTCCTGGTCCGTTGAACCAGTCATTCTCTCAAGGGAAGGTGAAAATTTACCTAATTTATACCTCACGTTTGAACGTGCTCCTCTCTCCAGCCCTCTTACTAGGACTTGGGTGAAAAGTGTGCTAGTCTTCTCTTGAACTAACCCTGCTTCTTTTCTGTTGACCAGGGAAGCTCAGATAATTTTTCCAGATTTTAACTGCTTTTCTTAGTGGTAGGAGAAACCCTAAGCCAGAAGCGGTGGAGTGTAAGTTCATATAGGCTTCAGGATGTTCAGGCAGCTGGGAAATGGCTAGGCTCACAACAGGAGATGCTAAAGGT